AGAGAAAGATATGGCAGTCTGCTTCTGTAAAGATTACAGCCTTGAAAACCCTATGGGGCAGTTATACTCTGTCCCATAGGGTCGCGATGAGTCAGAATTGACTCAACGGAAACAGGTTTGGTTTGGTCAAGCTTGGCTCTATAAGAAAAAGTCTGCTGACCACTGTTCTGGTACATAAGTACTCTTGTATGCTATTACTTACTTTTCTTATCTACAATTTTTACTGGCTGCAGAATGTTCCATTAAGCAGACATTGCCATTTACTAAAGTATGGTGGTATTGTTAGTCTTTGAGGTATTTTAGTTAGTAAATAATCCTGCAGGGAACATCTTCATACACAAAGCTATTTCTGTGTTTAGGATTTTGCCCTTGAGATTGATCCCCAGGAGGTAGATTTTGGGTCAACAGGGGGAGCATGCTTTTGACTCTTGGTGACGCTGCCACTGGTGACCACCTTATGTCTGCCTTCCCTGCAGGTCAGCGGAGTTGGGTATAATGGCAAAGGGAGCGTGTGTCTTTTACCATCCAGGGAATTACTTAAGGAATTTTCCAACATCTCGGTGGGAAAATTAGTGGAGGTAAGTGTCAAAAGTGCTATGGTGGGAATATGCATTTAAGACAGAGTTTATGGTGATTCTCTGAGAAGACAAATAGCAATTGGACCAACTCGTTCTTGACAACTGGACCATCCCAGGGTTTAGGGGTGCAGAATTCCAGTGCTTGGAAAAACGCCCAAAAGAGGTAAGAGAAAAGCTAGAAGTTTCCACTGTCACCGTCTGCTGAAGAGGCCGTAAGAGACGCCTGCACAGAGTAGGCGCTAAATGGATGTTGGAGGATAAGTTCTTGATAAATTGTCCCTATTGTTACGGTTGGAGGCAGTGGTGGTTCAGTAGGAGAATTTTCGCCTTCCGTGAGGGAGACCCAGGTTGGATTCTCAGCCAACGTTCCTCAGGTACAGCCACCACCCGTCTGTCTGTGGAGGCTTGCATGTTGCTAGGATGCTGAGGTTTCAGCAGAGCTTCCAGACTAGGAAGAAAGGCCTGGTGATCTACTTCCAAGAGTCAGCTAATGAAAACCCTGTGAGCACAGCGTCTGATCATGGGGATGGTACAGGACCAGGCAGTGTTTCCTTCCACTGTGCATGGGGTCACCATGAGTTAGGGCCAACTCTACTGCAGCTGACAACAATATTGTTATAGTTATTCATGTTAACTGTATTCATCCATGCACTCTGCCCATCTCTCCTCCCCACACAGTCGGGCCTCTGTGACGTCCAGCCGAGCCTGCTGCTCTGCATCATTCGGTTAGCACTCGCTTGGCTGCGGTCCCCACCACCAGGGCCCCACTTCATTGTCATAGCAACCATGAAGTCACCCCTGTTAACTCAGTTTTGCAGATTAAGAAACAGGGGCTCAGAGAGGTCAGCAAGTGTACAGAGCACCAGGACAGTCAAGGAGGAAAGCTGGGATCCCCCACATTCTCATGTGTTGGTTTGCCTTTCCTTTTCTAAAATTTTCTTATTGAGATATAATCCATATACTGTAAGACTCACCCTTTTAAAGTATACACTTCAGTGGTCCTTATTTTATTCACAGAGTTGTGTAACCATTGCCGCTATCTAATTCCAGAATATTCTCATCACCCCCGAAAGAAACCCTACAGCTGTTAGCAGTCACCCTGCCTCACCCCACGCTTGTAGCCACCAGTCTACCTGCCTTCCCATGACAACGACTTTGTGGCACCTGTCACTCAGCCTTGTTAGTCACTGTTGAGTTGACTCAGAGTCATGGTGACCCACGTGCAAGAGAACAAAACATCGCCCGGTCCTATGTCATCCTTACAATCACTGGCATGTTCAAGTCCATCCTTACAGCTACTGTGCCAATCCATCTCACCAACGGTCTCCCTCACCCTCGCTGGCCCTCTGCTTCACCAAAAACAGTGTCCTCCTCCAGCGAGTGATCCCTCTTGATGATGCATCCAAAGCGAGAAGTCGGACAATGTTCTGTTGTCATTTCTTCAAAGAGATGGAACAACTAATCATTAACTTTATATGGAAAGGGAAGAAGCCCCGAATAAGTAAAGCACTATTGAAGAAGAAGAATAAAGTTGGAGGACTCACACTACCTGACCTCAGAACCTACCATATAGCTACAGTAGTCAAAACAGCCTGGTACTGGTACAACGACAGATACATTGACCAATGGAACAGAATTGAGAACCCAGATGTAAATCCATCCACCTACGGTTACCTGATCTTTGACAAGGGCCCAAAGTCCATCAAATGGGGAACAGACAGTCTTTTTAACAAATGGTGCTGGCAAAACTGGATATCCATCTGCAACGTTCTATTGTCGATTCATAAGGTTTCACTGGCTGATTTTCAGAAGTAGAGCACCAGGCCTTTCTTCCTAGTCTGTCTTAGTCTGGAAGCTCCGCTGAAACCTGTCCACCATGGGTGACCCTGCTGGTATTTGAAATACCTGTGGTATAGCTTCCAGCAGCATAGCAACTCATAGGCCACTACAGTACCACAAACTGACAGGGAGGTGGTAGATCCATTAGAAGCATGTCACTAAAGTCTAGCCCACACTCAAGGGAAATTAGCCTCCGCCTTTTGAAGGGAGCAGTGTCAAACAATTTGGCGGCATATTTTAAAACCACCACAACCATCAAATAGTAACTATTTACTATGTTTATTTTGAAGAGTGAGTATTGACCCCTAGCCCTAACCCCAAAAGTAGCCCAAGTCTTCAGTGTCCAACTTGTTCCCTGCCTGAGGAAGCCCAGGCCGTATGGAGTGCTGGCTCCAAGGCCTCACTAGAGACACTAGGCCCTTCTCTCCCGCAGGCAGGCTGTGTGGCCAACAACGCCATCATCAGGGAGAACGCGGTGATGGGACAGCCCACAGAGGGGGCCCTGATCGCCCTGGCGATGAAGGTAAGGGCTTTAGTGTTCTGCATTGGGCATTTTCTCGCTCTGAGCTGGGTTGGTAGCAGAATCCAAGCTCCATCTGAGCAAATGATGGGAGAAATGGCTACAACCGCCCACGGTCAAGGGTGCCGATGGGTAAAGGGGGGCTCTGAGACACTGGGGGGCGCATGGTGTCCATCTGTCCCTCTTTGGTGGTGTTAATTTTTTTATTGTGGTGAAAATATACACAACAAGACATTCACCAATTCAACAGCTTCTGCATGTATAATTAAGTGACATTGACTACATTCTTCAATTTGTGCAACCATTCTCACTATCCTTTTCCAAATCATTCCCCCACCATTAACGTAAACGCAGTGCCTCCCAAAGAAAAAAATCCCCTTTTCCCCCCCTCTCTCTCCCCCTGGTAACCTTTGGTTTCTATATGTTTGCTTATTTCATGTAAGTGAGATCACACAGTGTTTGTCCTTTTGAGACTGACTGACGGCGCTCAGCATGATATTTTCTAGGTTCACCCATGTTGCAGCACGCATTAGGACATTTCTCTTTATGGCTGAGTAGTGTTCCACTGTGTGTATAGACCACGTTTTGTTTATCCATTCATCTGCTGATGGGCATTGTGGTTGTTTCCACAATGGCTATTGTGGAAGTGCTGCAGTGAACATTGGTGTACAGGTTTCTGTTTGCGTTCTGCCTTCACTTCTTCTGGGTATGTACCTAGAATTGCTGGGTCATATGGTAGTTCTATGTTCAACTTTTTGAGGAACCACCAAACTGTTTTCCACAGCAGCTGCACCATTTTACATTCTTACCAGCAATAGATGAGGGTTCCAGTTTCTCCACAATCTCCCCAAAACCTGTTTTCCGTTTTTTGTTTGTTTTTTATCATTGCCATTCTAATATGGGAATGAGGTGGTATCTCATTTAGGTTTGATTTGTCTCTCTCTAATGGCTAGTAATGTTGAGCATCTTTTCATATGCTTGTTGGCTATTCACATACCCTCTTTAGCGAAGTGTCTGTTCAAGTCCTTTGCCCATTTTTTGATTGAGTTGTTTGCCTTTTTGTTAAGTTGTAGAAATTTTTAAAATATATTTTGGACGTTAGACCCTCCAACCTCCTCTTCAAATGCTTCTTAGAGCTGCTCTCAGGCTTACCTCCCACGTCACGCCAGCTATGTCCACGTGTTCACTCGTCCCTCTCCCTGGCACTAGATGCTGGCTCCTTCATCTCTGCATCCTGCCCACGTCATGGGGCCTGGCACAGAGGGACGTTCTGAAGCCACTGCTGGGCAGGAGGACAAGTGGGGAGAATGAGTGGCTTTTACTAAGTCCCTGTAAAGAGAAATGGGGTGCTTCTCCCCAACACAGCAACAGTAAGAAATTATTACATCTTCTTCTTTTCCTCCTACTCACAGAAGAAGATTCTCCCTGGGATGTCAATAATAAATGAAACTTAAACCAGTTGCTGTCAAGTTGATTCCAACTCCTGGCAACCCCCATGTACGTCAGAGTAGAACTGGGCTCTATAGTTTACAATGGCTGAGTTTTTGGAAGTTGATCACCAGGCTTTCTTCTGAGGTGCCTCCACCCTTACAGTTAACAGCCAAGCAAGTTTACCATTTGCACCATCCAGGGACTCCAGATAGGACTTAGACCCCCCACCTGTGCCTTTGAAATAGTGCTGAGCCCTACTCTGAACTCCCCACTATCAGGAAAGCGATAGCTGAGCCAGGAGCGAAACCCTAGTACCAAGTCTCCACCTGCTTCAGCCACTGGGCTGGGCATGCAGTATGGGAAGGGCGGAGGTTCTAGAACCCTCTTTCCTTTATGTGTTATGATACATAACAGGTCTAAACACACCCCAACAACTACTTTGGGGGCCCGGCCTAGGATTTTAGGATAAAATAAGTAACAGCTGACACGTATTGAGCATTTACTGCATGCCAGGCACCATGGGTGCTTTGTGTATATTATCTCACTCATCCTGCAGCGACATGAAGAGGTTATGGCAGCGGTTTTCAACCTTTGTTTCCCATTATTGTCCCCCCAAGGAGCCTTTTTCTCCCTAGCCACCGCTGGCCCCCCCCCCCATGGAATTTTAGGAACACAGATACACTGTGCATCTATTTAGTAGTGTATGTGTGTATGTCTGTGTTTTATACATAGAGTAGATTTTCCATTTCCCAGGAAACCATTTTTGCCCGCTGGGGAGCAGTGGGGGTGCATGGATTAGGATGGGTTTACGGTTGGGAAAACTGAGGTTCAGAGCTGTCATGTAACTGGCCCGAAAGCTGTCAAAGAACAAATAAGTGTTCGCGCTGGCCTAGGACCCTGGGCTTTTGACCAATGAGAGCCGCTTTGCTGGCCCAGGGAAGACATAAGATTCCTTTTTGGGAAGTGGCTGCAACTGCAAGTCAAAAGGAGCCCCTGGGTCGTGCAAATGGTTAACTCACTCAGCTGCTAACCTGAAGGTTGGAGGTTTGAGTCCACCCAGCCAATGCCTCAGAAGAAAGGCCTGGTGATCTACTGCTGAAAAATCAGTCATTGAAGACCCTATGGAGCACAGTTCCACTCTGACACATGCAGGGTCACGAAGAGTCAGAGTCGACTCTACGGCAACTCAACGGTTCAAGTCTGGAACATTCCTCTCGACAGAACCCCAGGCTTTTGTTTCTGAGTAAGTTTCAGGTAGAAGCTATTGCAGAAACCAGTAGGTTCTGCCCCAGGACAAGAGACAAAAAAACAGTGATCTGCTCTTGGTGGGACATTTGAAAGCATGTGGTCTTTCTCTGGGAGCTAAGTGCTTCGATTTCTCATCTGCCCTGAGATGGTTTGAATGATGAATCATTTACATCGACTGAGCTTTGCCTAGAGATTGCCTTTTCCCGACTCATCAAAAATCTCTCATTTTATTTATCTTAGATGGGTTTAAGTGGTATTAAAGATTCCTATGTAAGAAAAAAAGAGATTCCATTCAGCTCGGAGCAGAAGTGGATGGCAGTGAAATGCAGCCCAAAGAATGAGGTGAGTGTGCCAGCCCGTCTGCCCCTTCCCACCGCCATGAAATGTAAAGCAAAATACAGATGTGAGGGAGAAGGTTTGAAAGTTCCGGAGCTTTTCCATTGTTGTTGTTATGTGCTGTCGAGTCAATTTTGACTCACAGTGACCCCATGTGACAGAGGAGAACTGCTCCATAGGGTTTCTCGGCTGTAATCTTTATGGGAGCAGATCACCAGGTCTTTCTCCCATGGGACCCCCAGATGGGTTTGAACCACTGATCTTTCGGTTAGCAGCCAAGCACTTAACCATTTTGCCACCAGGGCTCCTTTGGACTACTTCTATGAGAGTCCAAATACATGAAAATACTGTTTATAAGCAACTAAAACTTCAAATTATCTTGGGTCATCTACTGAACGTTTGTCTAAAATAGTGGTTCTCAAAGTAGGGTTCCCAGACCAGCCATGTCAGCATCACCTGGAAATGTCTTAGAAATGCAGTTTCAGGCTCCTTCCCAGAACCACTGCATCAGAAACTCTGGTGGGGGGGGCGGGGGGGGGGCAGCAATCTGTGTTTGCTGGGGATTTTGATGCAGGCTCAAGTGAGACTCACTGGCCAATAATAGAACTATTGAGGGATTACTGCTGAGCAGCCAAAGTACCACTATAAATAACTCTTCCGTGACCACGCCGTCCATGTCTTTGTACTCTTCTGTAGAATGAGACGGACGGTTACCATGCACAGAAGCACCCCGTGACACAGGGTTTTCTTCCTTTGGTCTTTTTCTAGGCACAGGAGGACATTTACTTCATGAAGGGGGCCCTGGAGGAAGTGATCCATCACTGCACCATGTACAACCACGGGGGCATCTCCCTGCCACTGACACCCCAGCAGCAGTCACTCTGCCTTCACGAGGAGAACAGGATGGCCTCGCTCGGCCTGCGGGGTCAGTGGCTGGGGCTCGAGCCATAGCTTTAAGCTTGCAGGTCACGTTGACTGAGTACACCAACGAAGGGTCCTTAATCAATAAGGTGATCAATCAGAAAGGCAGTCAGGCAGAGTGCTGACGGAAAGGAAGCAAGCTCAGAATCGAATAACTAACCAGTTGCCGTCGAGTCAGCTCTGACTCATGGCGACCCCACGTGCATAAAAGTAGAACTGTGCTCCATAGGGTTTTCAGCAGCTGATTTTTCAGAAGTAGATCACCAGGCCTTTCTTCCAAGGTGCCTCTAGGTGGGCTCGAACCTCCAACCTTTCAGGTAGTAGCCGAGCATGTTCACCATTTGAACCACCTCGGGACTCCTGGAATTGAATAGTTAAGTGAACATCTTTAGATGACAAAGAGCCCCACCCAGCCACTAAATGACAACTGCTAACCCATATGTGGCTCACATGTGTGAGAAGAGGGGACCCCCCTCTTGTTGAGTTTTCTAGAGGGTGAATGTGATGCCCCGCAAACATCGTTTTTCCTGATTGGTCTCACTTATTGCCTCTTGTCAGAAAAACCAAAAGCTCTTTTAAATCAAGGAAGGCATTTCATCACTTGGCCATTTCCAATTTTCTGCACTAGCACCGACGCCTCCCTGATGGGCTGAACATTAAAGCTCTTGTCTCCCGTCCCGCCATTTGTCACCTGTCTCTTCTCAGGGAAACCTGAGAAGCGTGTAAAATGCTCCACAACACTTGTACTCCCTCTGGGAGGGTGAGAGGCGGTTGGGCTTGCCATGTTGGTTTGGATGCTTGGTTTTTCCCCTTCAGGGAACAGAAATGATAAATTGCTGGTAGCCTGCTGACAAGCTTGCAGGGGGAAGAGGTTGCTGCTCCGCTCGCTGGGGCAGAGCCATCTCGAGGTCGAGTTTCTCCGTGAACACTGAGCCATTCGTCATCTCTTCCCAAGTGAGGGTATGTTCCTGCCGAGCAGAAGTGTTTTACACGTGTCAAGGCCCCCCAGGATGGTTTGTGCAGCTCTAGGTCTATGGTAGGAGCCCTAGTGGTGCAATTGTTAAGTGCTCAGCTGCTAATCAAAAGGTAGGTGGTTCAAACTCATGGGAGAAAGACCTGGTGATCTGTTCCGTAACAGCCAAGGAAACCCTATGAGGCAGTTCTACTCCACTATACCGGGTTGCTATGAGTTAGAATGGACTCAACGGCACACGACAACAGCAACAGGGCTACGATAGGCCCACGGGTAAAGGTTTGTGCCTCAGTGTCCTCTTCTGTAAAAGGAAGACACGACAGCAATTGCTTCGTGGGGTTGCTGTGAGGAGCAAATGGGTCACTGGATGAGGGGGGCTTAGGAGAGAATCTGGAATGGCATTAGCCGCTGCTGCTATTGTCGTGATTAATATGAACAAGCTGTAAAGTAGCTACACCTCGTAGGTCACCTGGTATGTCTCCTAACACTGATACCAAATCACTTTAGGCTGGACAGATGGATAAGTAAAACTCTCACATGTCGTTTTACTGACCTACTGGCTGACTGGTCGGCCAGGTGAGGTCACATGTGGCCACAAGCACTCGGAGTCCATTGTGCCGGCTGCCATATTAACTGCCCAACCAAGACCATGCACAGAGTCCCCCTCAGCCCCGTGAATCTTCGTGCATCTCGGTTTCTCCTCAGTGCTGGCCCTGGCATCTGGGCCCAAGCTGGGGCAGATGACGTTTCTGGGCCTCGTCGGGATCATCGACCCGCCGAGGGCTGGCGTAAAGGAGGCAGTCCGGGTACTCTCCGAATCAGGCGTGTCCATGAAAATGATCACGGGAGATGCTCTGGAGACAGCTTTGGCAATAGGTAACTGGAGACAGGACTGAGGATGAGGAAGAAAAGGACTCACCCAACCTTTAAAGTGGGGGTACTAGCACTGGCTAATCCTTCATATACCTGGCCAGGAGGGCACACGCCCAGTTTCTGCATGCTTAGAAGAGGTTGAGATTTCTAGACCAGCGCTCCTCCTTCCAAGGAGTTTGCCTCCACTATGTTGGCAGGTTTCCCAAAATGGGAAAAGACCTCATGTCTTTGAGTACCTACTGTGTGTCAGGGACTTTGTTTCATCTTCACAGGCAGCATCATTCCCAATGTACAGTTCAGTCTGGCTTCTGCCACTAGCTGTTGTTATTGGCAATTCACTGAACCACTCTGATCCTCAGTCTCTTCATCATCACTACTCCTCCTCCTCCTCCTACTACTGTAACTATTACTGTTAGGAGTGCTGTCACACCTTGGTTTCTCCCCACTCTGTCTTGAGGCAGCCTGGCGTTGTGAAAAGATCACAGACGGTGGGGTCAGACTCCAGACTCCATGCCAGGCTCAGTGTGACTACTTACCAGCTGTGTGACCTCAGGGAGGCCACTTTCCTCTTGGTTTCCTCATCTGTAAAGTGAGGATAGTAGGCCTTTGTTACATTAACCGAGGTCATGTAGGTAAAGGCGTGGCACATAGTGGGGCACAGTCAGTGGTGGCCATCCTGGTCTTATGCTGGTCATTCTCGGTGGCCAGGGCAGGGACTGACGTCAGGAGTGTGGAGGGAGGGACTGGGGTGGGGGGACCACTCTCAAGCCTTGGAGCACACCCTCAGTACTGGTTTTCCCCAAGGAAGAAACATCGGCCTGTGCAATGGGCAGCTGAGGGCTATGTCCGGGGAAGAGTTGGACAGCGTGGAGAAGGGCGAGCTGGAAGAGCACATCAGGAAGGTAGCACCTCCTGGGTACAGGGTGGTAGGGGCCCAGGGTGAGGGGTGGCACATGTGGAGGGGGAGCATGTGTGTCAGCCACACGGTCATTGGATCTCTGCTCCACTGTTTCTTTGCGCCCAGGTGTCTGTCTTCTTCAGGACCAGCCCAAAGCACAAACTCAAAATCATAAAGGTATGTGTGCAAGGCAGGGGTGGCTCTGCTGCTGTAACCACAAGGCCCCAAACTCCGTGGTTTGACAGACAGCTCATTTCTCCCCCAGGTCACAGTCCAGGGTGCTGGGCGGCTCTGCTCCACAGGGTGTCCAAGGCCCAAACTGGCAGTCAGCTCTGCCTTCTCACTAGATCCAAGGCAGGGCTCCGGCTCTGGGCTGCTTTTCCACAGCCAGTGGGAGGAAGAAGGAGGAGGGATAGCAGAGAAGGGACACCACATGCTCACATCCCATTGGCTGCGCTTAGTCACGTGGCCCTGTCCAGCTGCAGAGGATGCTGAGAAGTGTAAGCTCTAGCCAGATGGCCCTGTGCCAGTTAAATCTGGGGTGCTAAGATAACGAGAAGGCGGGAGAACTGCGGGGGGTCATTTGCCCCATTCACTGAAAATAAGGAGCTGGAATTGGCTCATGCAAAGTGAAAAATAAAAACAGTGTGCTCTTCGCTGTTAACTCTTCTAATTTAACCCTGTGCCTCAGTTTCCTTAACTGTAAAATGGGGATGACACTGATGACGTTAGCGAACTCCCAAAGTTCACAAGAGAATTAACCGAAGCCGTGCCTGTGAGGCCCGTGACACTGGGCCCGGCCCACAGCAAGTGTCTAATAAAGAAAGGAGGTGATTCTCTGATTGTGCATCCAAAAGACGAAAAGTTTTGAACGAAAGAACCCTGCAGACATCTTGGTTCTCCTGCCCCTGTATACTTTACAACATGCTTGTTAACGCTTTTTGTAGTTGTGGTTTTTTTCATTTTTGTTTTGTTTTGTTCTTAGTTTTATAGAATAAATCTCTTCACGTTATCCTGCAAAGAAAATGCTACCACTTCTTGGCCATCGCATGGTTTCAGGGCGTGAGCTGTTGATTATTTATTAATTGTGACAGATAACATTTATGGAGCCTTTACTATGTGCTAGGCATCGTCACATTCAGTGTCTTGTTCAGGCTTCCCAATAGCCCTATGAAGTAGGGACTGTTGCCCCCATTTTTCAGATAGAGAAACTGAGGTTGAAATGTTCAAGCATTTGCCCAAGTCTCACAGCTGGGACTCAGACTCAGGCCAGCTGGCCCCAGGGCCTGCCAGAGAGGGGTCTGCTGTAGGCCACACAGTGAAGGCAGCATGTCAGGAGGAAGGAAGGTTCCGGAAGCAGGCCTCCAATCGACTCCTCTGTCCAAAGGCCTTGCAGGACTTGGGGGCAGTCGTGGCCATGACAGGCGACGGTGTGAACGATGCGGTGGCCCTGAAGTCAGCAGACATCGGGATTGCCATGGGGCAGACAGGGACGGATGTCAGCAAGGAGGCCGCCAACATGATCCTGGTGGATGATGACTTCTCTGCCATCATGTAAGTTGCTTCTTGGGTATGTGTTCAGCCAAGGACAAAAATGCCTGGAACACCCGCTCCTCCTGGGTCTGCCGTCCTTGAGACATATAACAAGCCACTCATAGCAGGTGGTTCCCGTTAGAAGGGCCCAGAGTGGGCCCTGAGGAGGTTACAGCTTTTCCCTGTCACCACAGCAGATGTCCTGGGGCCTGAACATCAACAGCCACTTTAAGCAGGGTCATGGGGCCGCGAACCTTAGGATTAATCACCACAGTGCCCAGGGGGTGTTCTGGCACACACACTGGGGCTTTGGTTTGCAGCCTCCGTGCCTTTTGGGCACAGACAGGCACACCTGCCCCGGGGAAGCCTTCATCCCGGGTGTAGAAAGAGCCTTGCCAGTTGCAACATTATTCAGAGAAAAACCTAGAACCATTGTACATGGCCAATAGCAGCAGAAGGGAAAACTACGTGGCCACTGAAAACCATGTTTGTTTGTTTTTTGCCATTTTAACTTTTTTTTTATTGTGCTTTAGACGATAATTTACAGAACAAATAGTTTCTCATTAAACAGTTAGTACATATATTGTTTTATGACAATGGTTAAACAACCCCACATGTCAACACTGTCCCTTCTCAACCTTGGGTTCCCTATTACCAGCTTTCCTGTCCCCTCCTGCCCTCTAGTCCTTGTCCCTGGACTGTTGTGCCCTATTAGTTTTGTTTTGTGGGGCTGTCTAATCTTTGGCTGAATGGTGAACCTCAGGAGTGACTTCATTACTGAGCTAAAAGGGTGTCCAGGAGCCATACTCTTGGGATTTCTCCAGTCTGTCAAGCCAGTAAGTCTGATCTTTTTTTTGTAAGTTAGAATTTTGTTCTACATTTCTCTCCAGCTCTGTCCGGGACCCTCTGTTGTGACCCTGGTCAGAGCAGTCAGTGGTGGTAGCCGGGAACCATCTAGTTGTACTGGCTTCAGTCTGGTGGAGGCCGTGGTAGCTGTGGTCCATTAGTCCTTCAGACTAATCTTTCCCTTGTATCTTGTTTTCTTCATTCTCCCTTGCTCCCAAAGGGGTGAGACCAGTGGAGTATCTTAGATGGCTGCTCACAGGCTTTCAAGGCCCCAGACACTACTCGCCAAGGTAGAACGTAGAACATTTTCTTTATAAACTGTTATGCCAATTGAGCTAGGTATTCCTCGAGACCATGGTCTCCACAGCCCTCCGCCCAGCAATTCAGTCCCTAAGGGAGTTCGGATGTGTCTATGGAGCTTCCACGACCTTGCCTTGGACAAGCTGTGCTGGCTTCCCCAGTGTTGTGTACTGTCTTACCCTTCACCAAAGTTACCACTTATCTGTTGTCTACTTAGTTCCCCCCCCAACCCCTACCATCCCTCGTAACCAACAAAGATTATTTCTTTTTGTGTGTAAACTTTTTCATGAGTTTTTACAGTAGAGGTCTCATACAATATTTGTCCTTTTGTGATTGACTTATTTCA